ATTGTGGAAAAAAATGGGTTTGCTCTACAGATTGGCACATACTACCATTTCCATAGCTTTTTAGCAATGCTGAAATTCTGCAATTCTTTTTAAATGCTGATTTTGCTTGGGAAAGAAGCAGCAGACATAATGAAGTGTAAAGTTACATTGACTTGTATGTCTGGGATAAGTTGCAACTAAAATACTGTAATAATAAAGTCTAGACATGCAAATTACAGTTTGTGTGTTCTGGTATACTGATGTTGGCACTTGTTTACTGTAAGCAAGGTGCTTATCAACAGGAATAGCTATACTTTGCATAACAAATTCATCCAAAGGTTTCTACTGTTAGGAAAAGTAATGCCTATGATCTCAACTGTGCAAACAGATATTTCAGGGGGGAAAATAATTATTAAAGCTTTAGCAAGCATCAGCTTTACCATCCAGAAAAAAAAACCACATCAGCATGCTGCTATGTTCCCTACAGCTCCACGTTTTCTGGCTCTTTTTATTTTGCTTAGCTTTTACCCTCATCACTAGTCATTCCTCTTACAGGAATATTTTGCCTACACTCATGTAATAGTGTCAGAGAGTCATCAAGAGATGTGAACGTGCAAGCTATGAGGAGCTAGCATAAATCAGCCTGGTTTCATTCATGTCAGTGAAGCCGTAGTTTTAGACAGCTTGAGAAATCAGAAGTCTAGATTCTTGCGTGATCATTGTTCGTTGATTTGCCTCCACTTTTTTTCCATTTTCTATTACTGTATTAGGTTGAAAGTTCATTAACGTTGGTAGGATGCCAAAATCTGTTCTTTTCCATCCCCTCTTCAAGCCTCCCTATTCCTGCTGAAGGAAATGGGAAAAGAAAATGCTAGGAGTGGCTCTCTGTAGCAAAACAGCCTGGTTAACAAGAAAAGGATTCTGCCTCTCCCACAGGCAGGATTTATCAGCATCCACAGAGACTGCAGCCAGAAGCAAGTCAGCAATCATGCAGTTCCTGTGAGAGGAGAGGCAGCAGGTGCTCAGCTTCCCTCTGAGCTGGTGAACTTTACTGGGAATTTTTTTATGTACTAGTTACCAAAATAAAAAATGCAACTAGAGTTTTGTTCTTTTTCCTTACCCCAGATGTATGTTCATAGTGACCCAGAATGCACAAAGTGTGAAAACTGAAACGGAATGGGTAATACTGAAATGGGGGGGGAATGTTAGTTTAAACATCTGGAGTGCTATGTTTCTCTTTACCCTGCCATTACATTTTCAGTATCATCTATTATTAGGAATCACACCTTATTGCACTGCATTTTTCAGTTTGTAGTTGCTGTGAGATAGGGATCACGTGTAGCAGAGGCTTTCAGGCTGGGAGTGCCTGAGCTGTGCCGTACCCCGGGTGCCTATGTCAGCTCTCGGAGCTGCCACTGCTCAGGGCAGCCACAGTGATCTCTGTTCGGGCCCCACTCAGCCCTGCGCGGTGCTGGAGAGGTCATGCATGCCAGAGTTTTCTTCAAGGATTTTTTTTCTGTTGCTCATTTTCTGGGTGCTCATTTGGAGACAGTCAAGGTTTGCAGTGCAGGAAAGTGGAATGCTTACCTTTATCATGAAAAAGAACTTATCTTTAAACACCTAAAGCACTGTAACATCAGGACACTGGAAAATCAGACCTAAAGCACTAGGATTATTTTGAGTTCAATATGCACACCAATTATCAGTAAGAGAGGAGTTAATAATGTGATTTGATCCTACCTGTGCTGTGAATACACTCATTAAAATGTTTAAAGCCTGAAAATACATAGGAAGGTTCCAAAGAACATTGTGTTCCCCATAGAAAATAAAATGTACATTAATAACTGCACCTGTCAATATATTGGATGAGGATAACACATCTTCCCCTTTAAAGAAACAAGAAATGTAAATGCAGTATTTTAATTCCTGAGATTCTTTATTATTTAAAATTAAGAATACCACCTTTGTTCTATCGCAGGCATCACAAAGGACCCTAAAGCACACCTTGCAAAGGGGCTTGCCTCACTTCCCCAACTGCATCTCAGCACCTGCTTGTACCATCTGAGGGTACATCTATGACTTGTGCCCCTCAGAACTGAGCCACAGGAGATTTCATAGGGTAAAAGCCTTTTGTAAGCAGATCTAGGCTTGCTCCGACCCATCTTCCAGCATTAATAAATCCTGCTAGGCCTGTGGTCTGCATGCAGCATTGTGCTAACGACACAGCTCCAGCTTTTGGATCCAAGCTGGCTTGCACCCGGCCACCTCAGGATGGGAAGCAGACGTGCCCAGGTGGCCTGGCAAAAGGCCACAAAGACGCAGCCAGGTCTGCTGTTCCCGCACCCCCACCACCCAGTGTGGGGTTCCCTCAGGACTTGTCTGCACTAAGAAAAAAGATGCATTTAATAATGTTAAACCAATCTTTCACCATTTTATGTAGGCAAGGGAATCTGTATTTCATATTTATACATCAGGTTGCACTCTTTGTCTCTATGCTCCTTATGTCAGTTTGTGTAAGATTCAAGGAAACCACCATCTGTCTATCTATCCCATCCTTAAGGAAAAAGTCCCAAATCTGTTACGGCAGGAAGAGGCCTACGTGATCTCGGAGGAAAGAGCAAGGTAGCGGTTCTTCATCTGGAGGTCGGGAAGAGTTCCTGCAGATTCTAACCTCGATCCTTCTCTTTCAGCACAGCACCCTCTAGTGCCTTTGCCAAACCCTGGAAACGAACGGTCTGTGATTTCCCTAGACCTGATCCTCTAAGGGTTACTCTAAAGGGGAGAATGTATTCAGTGCAGCTTCAGACTGTAGAGCATTCAATTTTCATTTAGGAGCCATGGATAAATGGCCTCGATGCAAGTCACTGTTGGTATTAAGAACAAATGGCTAGCCTGAAGATACCCTGCTCTCAGACTCGCGGGCAGACGGGTGGGATCAGCTCTCACTTGAGAGGATCTCAAGAACTGTAGGATCTCACCCTAGAAGTGGGTTAAAGCTTTTCCAGAAAACTCCTTTAAGCAAGTTAAAGTAACAGAAGATTTGTCACCCTTGCTGGTAAACTTGAACAATGCTTAAATCGCCTTAGTAACTGGAAACTGTATCTCAATTCAAGATCCAGCTTAATTTCAGCATATCACTCATTGGAGCTTCTCTGCGAAATGTAATCCTTGTTCCCCAAAACATCCTTTTCACATCTAAGAGCCTCCACTGGACAATAAAATCAACTTTCATTCTTCTTCTCCATGATAAACTGAAAAGACTGACATTTCTAAGCCTTCCCTCTTAAGGCTTACTTGTAAGCCCTAGATTAATTTTATGGCCATTTTGAATATCCTTCTTTGACTGTCTGGAATTAAATATCACATTTGGTGAGCAGCACATTTACCAAGGAAAGATCCTTCCTGTTTGGTGTATCACTTCTATAGCAAAAGCAGGGCCAGAAATGCAAACGCAGACAACAAAATGGCAGCAGAAGCTCTTACAGCTACAGCTGGCAGAGGAGCTGGTGAAGGTGCTAGTGTTGGGTTTCTACGGTGGTACCTAGGAGGGGTCTGAGGGAAGGATCTTTCCGGCACTCTCTCCCTTTTTATGTGTTTAAACACTGCTTTAGTTTCTTTAATCACAACCTAATACCAACATGCAGTTGAGACTCGTGTCTCCACACCTACTGCTTTTAGTATATTTAAAAACATTTTTATTGTGCTCAAGACTCCTGGCTATCGCTATCACCCTCATCTTTCAGAACTCCTTATCTATTATGCATCACCGAGTCTTGAAAAGTATAATTGCTGATAATTAGTCATCCCCTCTCCCCTTAATAAACTCGTTCTGTTGACAATTTTCTCTCTTACTCCACTTTTTCCTACCACCAAACGTATTTCGTCCACAACAGCCTTTTCTTTTTTCTCTCTCCCCCCCCCGCCCCCATCTTCCTGCAGCCACAGCTCCTGGGCAAACCACCACACCGTCCCCAAGCCCACCTCAGCGCTTCACCTCGCCGCCCCGTACATCGCTATTGCCTGCCCCTCGCACCGACGGCGGTTTCCGCCCCCCTCCG